CTAATTTGATATTAAATCTGTTATTTTTCCCATCTTCATGACCATTAATAATGATCATACAAATGCAAAGAAAACAGATCGGATTAGAGACATAGCATGCAATATGAATATTAAATTTCCACAATATGTTTGTCTTGTGTCCAATTACCACCTTAGCCAGATGAGAAAAGCTACTGGTTGATTGGTTTCAAGACAAATTTCATTGAACCAAAACATGCATTTTGACATATTATGAGGTCATTACAAGGATACCGCAAAGTATGTACAAAAAGACAGTACTGTTGTCTCTCCTGACTTTTTTTTGTATGTGAAAATTGCAAATGTGTTAGTGCTGACACATAGTGCATTTTCACCACACCACATAAGTCATATTCATGTTTAGGACTACATATATATATGACAGAGCTATGTGGCCATCTCTCTATCAAATGGCAATTTAATGCGCCACCCTGGTGTCAACCAGGCTCGGCCAACACAAGCACATGCAGACCTTAACCAAAGTTCCTCCCCAAATTCGCATTCGTTAGTGAATGAATCTCGGCCAGTGAAATTGGCTTTCCCATTGAGTCTGTGGTGCACTCAACCAGGGTAGGGGTTGACCTATTCAGTGTTCAGCCTAAGGTAGGATTTGAACTTTGGTCTACTGATCATGAATCTGATCCGAAAACCACTATGCTACCAGTGATTGTTTTTTGTTTTATTTCACATTTTTAACACAATTTCAAGGCCTTAAAAACAGAAAGTCAATACAAGACATATTTAAGATTTTCGAATATTGTGGAAGAACCCTTAGTGGGCAAAATTGTAAAATTTTATAACAGTGAAATGGTCAGTTGGGTTCTCTGGTGGAGATTTTGAAAAAAAGATTTATATGATTTATGCTAATACAATAATTTGTTATTATGCTCCAACAATTTTTTTCTAACAGTCAGTCATTTTATGTTATAAATTTTTCTTCTTTGGATTTAGCCACCTCCAAAAATAATTATTCGTCAATCATCAAATTAATTGAAGAATTATGTTATTTATAATAACCAACCTACAGAAATAAAAAATCATATTTTTGTTGTTGTGCTACACTAATACATGTGTGAAAGAATAGTGTTTTCTCACATTAAACGATTGTACTTCAAAGAGTTTGTATTGTATTGACCACATGCACATAAACATACATACAGGTTATGCTATTAAAACAACTACGTTGTCAACAAAACAGTCTTAATCCTGACTCAACTATAAATAGCGATGAGTGGCTAGATCATTTCAGCAAACTATATAACAATAATAACAATAATGCTGATTTTAAGCAATCACTAAAATTATTAGAAGATACAAAATTATCTAACCATGAGTTAAACAATGTTATTTCATATAATGAAATTAAAAAGGCTATTAAAAATTTAAAAAACAAAAAATCAACAGCAGAGACAGTATTTCAAATGAAATGTTAAAACAAAAATAGTCTGTTAATTCCATGTATACAAAAATTATTCAATTTTATTTTGGAGAGTGGCACGTATCATCAAGTTGGAAATC